TTAGTTTTAACCCCACTGACATAATTGGTGCAAAAGCAAATTGTGATAGTAGATAATGTCGACCATACGCAAGACAATGAATTAAGATAAAAGTTTTCAGTTAATTATGCATCCCTTCACTGAACCCACTTGCAGTTTTTAGTTGCAAACCAATACAATGTTGTTTAGACTTTGACGTTCAAGTGAGTTGTCGCAGCGAAAACCTTTTGAGGCAACTAAACAATAATGCTCCGTTTGGTATGATAAAAAAATGGAATAATGGAAAGTTGAAAAGTATGATGGATAAATAAAACATCATGTTTGGTAAGAAAATCAAATAGGAATGATAGAAAAGTGGAAATATTAACTTTCCTTCCAACTCACCAAAATCAATTCATCCAAAATCGGAAGAAAAGTGGATTAAAAATTAATTATTTATGTTGAAATGTATCTTATTTGACTATATATCTCTTAATATCTATATAATAAACGACCTTACAATTCAAATTTTAAGAGATTAACAAAATGACTTTTATTTTTTACAGTTCAAATCTCTTTAAATTTTATTTTAAAGTTAATCTAACCGCTAATATTAACACTCTAAATTTAATAAGAAAAATAGACCCCTAAGGTTGTGTTTGGAGTGACTTTTTAAAATTATTTATACGAAGTATTTCTCATAAGTACTTTAAAAAAAATAGTATTTGAAACCACCCCACCACTACCTCTACCACCACCACCACCGTCGCCGCCGCCACTACCACCACCACCCCACCACTGTCATCGTCGTTGTCACCACCACCACTACCTCTACCACCACCACCACCACCGTCATCGCCATTGCCGTCGCCGTCGCCGTCACCACCATCGCCAATGCCGCCACCTCTGCCACAGCCACCATTGCCGCCACCACCACCGCTGTCACCACCATTGCCACCGCCACCGCTACCACCACCACCACACCACTGTCACCGCCCACCACCAACGCCGTCGTCGTCACCACCACCACCACCACCACCGTCGTCGCCGCAGCCACCACCGCCATCGCAACCACTATCGCTATCATCATTGTCGACACCACCACCCCCACCACCACCACCACTACCACCGTCACCGCCATCGCCACCTCCATCGCCACCGTCATCTCCATCGCACACCATCTTTGTCCCCGCCACCCCTCACTGCCATCGCCACCGCCACCGCCATCGTCACCACCACCACTGTCGCCACCATCACCACCACCGTCGCAACCGCCACTACCACCGCCGCCGCCATCACTGCCACCACCACCACCACCATGATCATTGCCACCCACTACAACTATCACTGTTTCCTACCACCACCACTACTGCTCACCACCTTTCACTTCCACTACAACCGATGCTTAAATTCATTTATCTCTTCTTTATGTTTGTGATTTGATTTTGGATATGAATACAAATATGTTTATGTTTATCATTTTTTATTACTCTGTACCTTCAAGCACATGCAATAACTATATTAATTTCATATAAAAATACAATGATAAAATATGTATTTATATATATATAATTTTAAAAAATTAAAAATAAAATTAAAAATTAAAAATTAAAAAAATATTTAAATTAAAAAAATAATTTTTATCATCTTAATTAGAGGTCAAAATTTTTGACTCAACACGATGACACGACTTGAACTCGTCACGAACTTGATTATAACTCGACACAAACTTAAAAATGACCTGACACGCGAACAAGAAATATAAAAAAGTAATATTCAGTTCAACTAGTCAAACTCAAAATTGACACCATCAACCTGTTTATTTAAAAATAAATATTTTTTCTATTTTCTCGTTTGTACGGTAACACAAAATTAACATGAAACTAACATGTTTAACTAATACTATAGACATAAAATGTTAATTATTTGTAACTATTTATTAAATACTGACATAATTATTATATAAAAAAGATATTTTTACTCATTATTATTATATATTTATTTAAATTAATTTTTAGTTTGTAGAAAAAATAATAACGTGAATTCAATTAAGTGAAAATAGAATATTAACGTTAAATTTTTTATTCAAAGTTTATTTAGATTAATACAAACACAAATATGACACGAAAATAAACAGGTCAACTCGCAATTCGACATGACACAGTTAGTTAAATGAGTTGAGTTAAGTTTAACTAATATTCGACACAAACTCATAATGACTCAACACGAATTTGATACACACGATTCGATTGTCACCCCTAATCTTAATCAGCACAAAAAAAAAATTGTCATTTTTTTTTTTCATCCATCCAACCAAATACAAAGGAAAGAAAGTGTATCATTCCTACTTTCCTTCCTTGAAAGATAGAAAGTATATCACTTATATTTTTTATCCTCTCTACTTTCCATCGTTCTTACCAAACGAAGCGCATAAGTTAAATGTATGCAACAACTGGCTAGTCTACTATAGTTTTCTCCTTCGGGTGCGCAGATAAACTACTCCTGTTCATGCACTAAATTGCACTAATACCTCCCAAGTTTTGATGATATAACATGGCGTTAGCCTTCCTGTGTTGGCTCATTTGAAAAGAAAGGAACCATGTTGTCTTTGAATGTGCCTAACCCATATGAGTTGTAAGGAAGGCCTTTGAAACACACCAGGAATTCATATCTGCTCAATTGCAGCACTGCTTCCTGCTGCTCAAAACCAGATTCTATACAATCTACTTAGTCCATGATTCAAGTATGTCGGATCAGTCATCAATTCAAACGGGACTGACATACACCGGTCGCGGCATCACACGACAACATCGGGCAATACCACAAAATGTTAAATAGAAGAAATTGAACATAAGGAAAAATTCTAGCCATATCGCGACATCGAATGAGACTCTTAATTTACACAAAACGTGGAATATTATTAAAATGAAAGATGTGAAGTCAAATACTACTCAATCAAGTTATATCAATTAATATCTACCGAATGAACTATGTTTCAATTCTCTCCACCTTTGTATTCAAAGAATAATATGCATTTGAATCGTAATTTTTAAATTTTATTTAGATTGCATAGCATTTTTCATTGCCAAAAGCCAATTGAGATGGGGCTTATAGACTATGGATTTGATAAAGGAGTCTATGGATTAAAAGGTAGGGACAGGAAGAAACATACTGTTCCATTAAGCTGGGGCACTCTACAGCTCCAGAAGGTGAATCAGTTGCAATACGAGAAGCAACCTACCGGAACCAGGCTTTAATGAGGTGGCTGTCGAATCAGATTCTAACTCATTAATACGAGTCCTAAGAGAGAGATTGGCAAACCAGTGTGGGAACTTAAATGAACTGCTTATGATGTACAGGAAACAGGTGAATAAAGCAGCCCATTGGGTGGCTGCAAGAAGGTTTAGTTTTTCAAGTGCACTGGTGAGAGAGTATGCAATCTATATACAGAATTGGAATTAGTATGTTAAAGAGGATTTGACAAACGTTGGATTGATTGTAGGTTCTATCTAATATCGGAACTCATAATTAATTTAATAATTATATTAATATCACGTCATTAAGTACTAAGATTAAGTCCTTGTAGCATTGGTCTTTCATCTATACTATTTTATATAATCGAAATTTGAATTTTTAATCACAAAAAAACAAAAATAAAAATAAAAGAAGACTTACGCTGGGGATGCATATTAATTGGATTCTCTCTGGGACCACTCTGTGTGTTCAACACATGACCTTTCCCCACTGATAACCAACTACATCACTTTCATTCGTATTGGCACCATCTCATTATTGTACTTGAGTAGGGGTAAAATTTGGTTTACTGAAATGTGGGTCTCACGTGATCATTATTAAGTAATATTATTAATTAATTAAAAATACAAAAATACAAAAATATGTCTATTAAAAGTAATTATTTTAATAAGAATACATTTAATAATTGTCATGTTGGATTAAGTGGGCGGGATTGGCTAATTCTATTTGGTAATATATAATAAGTGGTGGGAATAAAGCATACCATAATAATGGCATATCCCTATAGTGTGATCCATTTATCAATATATTATTGATTTCGAAAAATTTAACTTAATATCCTGATATGATATGTCGATGTGGCACATAATGTGGTCTTATTGAAGTAGTATGCTAAAATACAAAATATGCCTATTAAAACTAATTATTCTAATAAGCACCACGTTTAGTAATTGTCACGTTGGATTAAATAGGCGGGATTGATTAATTCTATTTGGTAACATGTAATAAGTGGGGGGACTAACGCATACCATAATGATGTCATAAATATCCTTATTGTATGATTAATATTATATATGGTTTTATTAAAATAGTCTAACAAATTGTGATTATAAAGAAGTTATTGCATCCTATCAGCAATGGCATCAACATTACTCTTAGTGCATTTGAGTCTTTACTGATTTTTTGACATTCAGGCATACCCATCCAACTCCCATCAGTCCAAGAACATGATAGCATCCTTTTCTTTTTACTGCACAACAGATATACATGAACTAATACATATCAATCCAATTCCAACCCTACTGTCTGACAGCGATTTGGACTTTCTCTCTCCCTGTATCCCACCATAGGAGTGAAATTAAAGACAACTCACGAGCAATTTAATAGATTTGTTTTGAAAGTTCAAAAAAAAGGCTATCCACAAACCCTAAACATATTGACCTTATATTATATACAGACCAGGCCAAAACAAGAGCATAAAAACAAATCTGAGAGACCACAACGCAAAATTGTGGTGGAGATCCAACCTCTCCACACTCCACTTTCACTGCCAAAAAGCTGCAAGACCAGACCGACCCGGTAACACTCATTGCCCCCTCCTACCTATATCTCTGTTAGATTTGCCGGAGAACCACTCTCTCTCTCTCTCTCTCTCCTCAAACGTTTTATACAACTTGGTGGTGTTTCATGCAATATATAAGCTGACAAGCAGTTGCACCACAAAGTTTGTGTATTTATTAGTCTTTATAGGGCTCATTTGAATTGTTGATTTAGTTTACAACTTCGGAATGCTTGCTGTGTCGCCTTTTAGGAGCGCCATCGATGGAAGAGAAGGAGAGATGGAGAATTTCTTGATCGGAGATGGTGATTTCCTTGAGTTTTCCGGTGGAAATTTGCTTGATATTATTGATTTCGATGACCTTTTCGTGGGCATCAACGATGAAGATGTGTTGCCGGATTTGGAGATGGACCCAGAAATTCTTGCTGAATTCTCAGCTAGTGGAGGTGAGGAATCTGAACTGAACACATCGGTATCGGTTGAGAAGGTTGAAGACGATTCGGTGAAAGAGGAAGACAATTTTTCGGGTTCAGGATCAAGCTTGAAGCAAGGTGAAGAAATTGTGAGCACGAGAGATGAATCTGTGGCAGTAAATGGATCGCCAAAGAAAGCTGATAAAGGAAGAAAAACATCAACACAAGCTAAGAATACTCAAGGGAAGAGGAAGGTGAAGGTAATTTGCACTGAGTTCAAGCTAAAATCAGCTAGATAGATAAGTTTTTTGTGCAATTAAAGGCTTATGTTCATGCACCCACAGTCCTAATTCATATGGAACAGTCCCATCCTTTCTCTCTCTCTCTCTCTCATACTCATGGTTTTTCTCAAACCTCATGGGTTGCAGAAACCTCACGAGAATCATGGCGTTTCTAAATCACACTGAGATATTTATTAGTATCAGAAAAACTGCCCCTACTTTATTGCCAAATCAATAACGCCGTGTTAGAATTTGGTTTTAGAGAGAGAGAGAGAGAGAGAGAGATTATGTGAAGACAATGGTATGATTTCTTGAAGTGTGTGTAGGTGGATTGGACACCAGAGCTGCACAGGCGATTTGTACAAGCAGTAGAGCACCTGGGAGTGGATAAGGCAGTCCCTTCAAGAATTCTAGAGCTTATGGAAATAGATTGTCTCACTCGCCATAACATTGCCAGCCATCTTCAAGTATGTACATAATGTCCTTTCCCTCCATTAACTGGTTTTTTGTTTATTTATTATTTGGGTACTTCCATTTTCTTTTCATGTATACATGTTTCTTAGCTTTTGGTGAAGTAATCACGAGTTCCCTTCAAATGCAAAAGGACATGGGAAGATGCTATCTTAGTGAGCCCCTCATTCTCTCCC